CAATCCCAGTACTATGTTGTAAAAAATTGTAATATTTAAACACAGTGGAGATAGGATCACGTTGTAAAGAATAATTCAATGTTGTATAGGTAATGTTTTAGAAATTTATTGTACAAAATTGTAGTTTCGCGTTAAATATTGTCGAATTATTTCCACCAGGGTAACGGCATCGACTGTGTTATTGTTATCATACCCCTAACTAAACATACGCAAAAGTAAACGTTACCATAATGCTTATCGCTTGTAGGAAACGACGAAGATACCTCCTACATTACTGTATACTTAGATTTAAAGACAGAATTTTTGATGCGCGTTGCTATGTAACGAAATCATGCAACGGATGTCCCCCCTCTACGCGGCCACGTAGTCGAGTTCGTAGTGGCGACCGCTCTTCAATGCAACGTTCGTTACAGGCAACTCCGGCATGTATAGTGTAATAAAATTAAGTAGTTTTCACTTGGACTGGCAATAATTTCTACGAACAATTAAGAAGTCCCTAGTAGGAAACTATGGTATGTAGGCAGAGAATAGATCGAGCTTGGTCGTAGAACAATGTAGAAAATTGTAGGCGTTTGAGACATAAATAATTGTAGTTTATCATAATATTGCGTAATTTAAAGATTTATAGTGAAGTACAACTTTGAACAATTATAAAAAATATTGATACGATACTGCCCCAATCCAAGTACTATGTTGTAAAAAATTGTAATATTTAGATTTAATGACATAATTTTTGATGCGAGTTGCTATGTAACGAAATCATGCAACGGACGTTCCCGCTCTACTCGGCCACGTAGTCGAGTTCGTAGTGGCGACCGCTTGAGCCGCGAGCGCTCTTAAATGCAACGTTCGTTACAGGCAAATTTAAATTCATAGTGTACAAATACTACCATTAAACCAATTCCTTAACCCCTATCCCGGTATGTCTGTGTGTTTGAAGAAGTAGCGTGTTGTATAATTACACGTTGTATTGTTAATTTTGTAATATGATGTTTTTTATTGCAAAATATTCTCGTTAATTACAGGTGCTTTTTTAACCGTTTTCGTTTTGGGAGTTTCGGTAATTGGCGCTGATCTTGGCCTGGGTGCAATACAAGATCTTATTTGGTCCACGTGTACCTTTGTGAGCTCTGTCGATCCATCTCGAATAGAGTACCACGTTTTCAATTACAAAAATTCAACTAGTCCAACGCTTTACTACGGAAATGACACCAACATCAATGTGGACTTAACACAAGAAACGAAATTTATTATTCATGGTTGGACCGAGTATGGTACAAAGCCATGGTTAATGAACATGGCCAAAGCTTATTATGAGACCGATCACAAATACAATGTGATTCTGGTCGATTGGTCAGCATACGGAAACTCCACTTATTTCAGATCAATTTGTTATGTATCCCATGTTGGTAGGGCTATAGCAAACTACATAGTCAACGTAGGATTCGATTTGAATAAAGTTCATATAATAGCCCATTCCCTTGGTGGACAAGTAGCGGGATACGTGGGGCAATCAATATATTTTGCTCAAGGTAATTATTATAGTACAATTTCACATAAAACCCACATTGCACATCTTGGGCACAGAAAAATACCTACCAATTGATTTTACTTAACATAAAAAAGAAATTATGTCCAAAATCTATCCTGAGCCGCCCATATAGTGGTCGAACATACTAATTATAATTCTCTTTCCCCTCCTCTTATAATAAATAACGTAAAATAAATAATGACAGTGGGTGCAACATTAAATTTAATGGTAAACTTTTAAAAGCCTTGTCCCTTTCATAGTTAATGTTTCAGTAGCTTCAGCAAATAAAGTATATTTTTGGAGCTTTTTGGCAGTAACACTAGAAAATTCTAGATCATCATCATAAGGTCGTCAGTCCTAAGACTGGTGGACACATATCTCCACTTTTTCCTATCCTGAGCTAAACTTTGCATTTCCCTAAAACTAGAACAACCCACACCCTTAACTATTTGCTTACTCTAATCTAGGTCTACCTCTACCTAGAGGTAGACCCTACCCCTCCTAACTCCTGTTTCTGCCTCTAATGTGTCTCTGACTAGACCTTCATGCCTGAGAAAAAGTGTCCTATCAACCTATCTCGCCTATTTCTTATTGACATCCATAGAATCCTCTCTTCTCCTATTCTTTCTAATACCTCTTCAAAAAAATTAATATCGAATAAAACCTTGTTCTGTAACATTTTCGAGACACTCTTTTAAATGTGAACATTAAAATAAAATGAGAAGTCACAAAAAACAATGGCATAACTTTTAAGGTACAAAAGTTAGGCGCATCACTGGTCTAGATGCAGCAGGACCTTTATTTTGTTACCCAAAGTTGTTGAATGATGACCTCAGATTAAGTCCTGACGATGCAAATTTTGTGGACGCAATACATACTAATGATGGCGAAAATGGATGTTCAAACGATTACGGTAATGTTGACTTTCGACCTAATTGTGGTTCTTTTCAAACCGGGTGCAACAATTATACCGCCGAAGGAGCTAGAAGCCCTGGTAAATATTTACCATATATGTATGTATACACCTAATTCTGTTATAAAACGTTTTGAAAATTACCGTTACCATTTTATTTAAGTTAATAAATTTACATGTGTACAAATTTTATTCACATAAAACACCAAAAGTAGTTTTTACTTATAATGCAGATTTTATTTTTTAGCAAAACAAAACAAAAATTACTTTGGAAGTGAAAGAAATATTATAAAAATGTTCTTTGAATTTTGATTGATTTTATTAAAGGACTTAAGTAAAAAGGGAATGAAAATATTTGAAATCATATTAAATCAAAATTGTGTAAAAACAGAATTGGGTTATTGGATATACTGAAATTGTAATGACGATTTTACATGAAAATATTTTTCTTTAGGGTTTTGCAGCCATTATCGCAGTTACAAATACTACACACAAAGTATATACAATGATTGTTTTTCGGCAGTGCAATGCTCAACGTGCAGCGATAGTTGCGAAGAACAACATACCAAAGATAATTCTGATATTGTTATGGGAGAAAATTCTTCGACGAACATTTCTGGAGATTATTTTGTATTTACAGAAGCTGGACAACCATATTGTAAATAAGTTTGTTTTGTAGTAAAGTCTTATCTTACATAATATATCTATTTATTATCCCTTCAGCTATACCTACTTGTAGGTTAAATAGATACTGTATGAATAAATGTCGAAAAAAGTCATACAGTATATATCCTAATGATTCGATTAAAACACACAAATGTGTGCTTATAACATAATGTAAAAATCTTACCTTTACAGGTATGTACTGCAAATTGATTTTCTAAAGCTTCTTTAATAGCCCCCCTCCCCATATTAACTACATGGCCACTATTAAGTTCACATAACAAATAAACAATAACAGACATTATTTTTAACAGTACCAGCATATTGTATTACAAAATGTTGTGAAATTGTAGAGCAACGCAAAGTACGTCCAAAACTTTAACAAGCACAACACAAAATGGCGTTGCAACAATGATTGCAGTACTCACATGCACGTACATACACATACACACATGTGCAAGAAATACCATAAAACGAAGAAAGTAAATTATGTATGCGTTTAAATAAGTTACTTTATTGCTAAAAAATAAAAGCACATCGAGTTATAGTTGAATTTGTTCTTTTCTATAAATAATATCACTATTTCACGATTTCAATCTTACGGCGCTGGCGGGAAATTCAAAAACACTACTTAAAAACAGCATAACACAATAAAATTAAAATGACTAAAAACGCTGTATTTTAAGAAACAGAAAAAGTATGCAACAAATTGTAATAGGAGGGAATATTATTGAATAAAAGATTTTATTCAACAAATCTCAAATTTATTAAATTCAGATAAGTAAGAACAAACGTAATTATCAAAATTATTTTTACTGAAAATAATTAATTTCTCGCAATATCGTGATATTTTTTATACCAGTCAACAGTTTCCTTTAATGCCTGTTGAAAAGGTGTAAATTGAAAATCTGGTAAATATTTTCTCAATTTCGCGTTACTGGCAGTCTTTTTAAACTGTCCATCGGCTTTTGTAGTATCAAAAACGACTTTCCCTTTAAAATCAAATGCTTTTACTAATTCCTCAGTCAAATCTTTTATCGAAACTTCAGCAGCTTCATCAACTGTTAAAAAACAAACAATTAAAAGCTAGTTTCCTATTATACCCCTTGTATGTATTTACATTAGACATTCGATAGTGTGACCATTGCATAACGGAAACCCCGTATAACGTAAACAGCGTATTAAATATAAAAGGCTACCATGTAACAACTACATTAAACCTTCACATAGAGACGTATGTCCTTTGGCCTAAAAAATTGATATTTCACCGTAGTTGTTGCGCCAATTCTGTAAATCCCCGAAATATTTGGTACATCCCCAGTCGTATTCGCTAGAGATACGTTGTTTTATTCATGTAATCACTTCAAATGGGTACCTACATAATTCATTGTTGCCTCATCTGCTTTCTGCATACATTCTTATAATTTTTATACTAAGAACAAAAACCTAAAACTAACAAGACTGCCTAACTGTTTATGTGAAATCCCTTGTATTTTAAGGATGAAATAATGGATGGTGTTACACATCTTCTGATTTCTTTCTTCAGTAAAAAATATTTCAGTACTGTTTTCATGTATTTACGTATTAAATATAACATTCTTATGTGAACAGTTTTCAGATCACACTATCGAGTGTTTACTGTATTTATTTTCTATTTTTAATTAATTCGTTTATGTTCAAGAAAAATAGTTAAGTTAACTATTTGAAAACCCTAATTTACTTTAACTTACCAGAAAGAATAATAGAATCCACCTCTTTATATTCCCTTAAAACCCAAACAAACAATTTAGCCAAATCAAGTGAATAAATAAATTGGCGCAGGGGTTTCCCTGTTCCCATTACAACAAAAGTATCACCTCCTTGTTGAATTATGTCATACAGTTTCCGAATAAGACCAGGGATAACGTGGCTAGATTCAAGATTAAAGTTATCATGAGGACCAAATACATTACATGGAACCACAGCCGTAAAAGTGCAACCATGTTGCTCATGGTATGCATGATTGTAAACGTCTATTAATCTCTTTGCATAACTATAACCAAAGTTTGAAGGATGTGGGGGGCCATTATGAATCTTAAAAACTCACACATAGAATGTTGCATTAATTATTGTGAAGCCTTTTTACTTACCATTGTTTCGTCTATTGGATATGTTGTTTTGTCAGGAAAAATACATGTTGATAAACAAGAAACGACTTTTTTTACTCCTGTTTCATAACTTACTTGCAATACATTATCGTTCATATGTAAATTTCGTCTCTAAAATGAGTAAATTACCTCAAGTAAAATGGAATTTTCAAAATTACCAAAAAGTCTAAATTATGGGACATGTTATGGAATAATCCTCCAACCATTGCAGCCAAATGGATAACATGAGTGGGCTGGTGCTTAGCAAACAATCTTTTTGTATCTTCTAAATTACTAAAATTAATATATCAGTAGTACCGGATTATTTTAGGTAGACATAGTTTTAATAAAAATTGAAAATAATTACCACAAGTCGGCATCTTTACTGCTTATAAATATCCATTTTTCATCTTTGGGGTTTTCACTTTCAATAACAGTTTTTATGGCATTTCCAACAAGCCCTGTACCACCTGTTACAAGTATAACTTTTTCGTGAGCCATATTGCTTTGTATTTTAGTAAAATAGTTACTTAAATGGAACGTTAAAGCAAATGTAGCAAAACTATCCTTGATTCAATGTTATCTCTGAAATACTGCAGATAAAAAGCACAATAAATCCTTATCACAATTAAAGCAGCTGTATGCTCAACGCTAAATAGGTACTATTGCATTTACTAGGTAAAAAGTTTAAAACTAATGAGTCTGATAAATTGTTTCACGTACATTGTAAATATTATGACTTTCCGCAGAACTGTTTATATATCAGCTACCAGTACATCTATTTGTTAATAAAAGACTGAAAGTTCAGCACTTACATAAAAGTTATATCAGATGAGTTACGGATTATCATGATTTTACTGTCAGTGTATGATTAATTTCACAGATTACTTAATAGTTCACTCTTATTAATAATAGTAAAAAAATAATATACACTATTTGGCTCCATAACAAATCACAACGATCGTATATTTTTAGGTTAAGTTAACGTCAATGTTCATAGATACGAAATATTATAGTAATTAAACAAAATGCCACTTTGCTTCTGCAACCCAATTTTCATTCTGTTCCCTGACAGTACCGCTAGCGTACTCTTGTAATGAGAGTGCTAAGCTTTCGGCAATTTCTCTATGGTACCAAGCATCATATATCTCTAATCTATAGTCAATGTTATAAACTTCTATGGTAAATGTAAACCAATCACATTTAAAATGACTGTTGCTATAACAGCGCGAAAATATTTGAACTTTAAAAACTGATACCGAGATCTAAACTCTTTAAAAATCGCTTTACAAAAATACAACGGAAAGAATATTTTTAGTCGTTTTTATTATAAATAAAGTTCATAACATTCAAAAATTCAGTATTACAATGTTAAAAGCTTAATAATCAAAATATTTACTATGATACAAGCAGAAAGAACTATCTAGATAACAGAGGCACTAATAACTGGAATGTATTCACCAAATGCTTGCCTCCTTTTTCTTACGTCACTGTCCCCGCATTTAACATTTTTTTTTAATGTAACAAAAAAAAAATGAAAAACGAGAAATGTTAGTCTACTATAACGCTAAATCGTAACAAATGTTATCACAAAAAATAACAATGAAATCCGTTTGGTAATTAAATACAGCGATATAAGTGCAGGTCTAATATTGAGGCATACATAAATTACATTCGGTATTGCTACATTACCACATCCATTCGTTTAATAAAGGTACAATAATAATATTAATAATAAAAGATAATAAAAAAAACGGTTTAGTAATAATTATTTTATATTATAAGTATGTGTAAAAAAAAACGCACCATGACATTAAACAAATAACTAATTCATTTAAAATGTGTGACATAAAATAATATGATTTAGGAACATTACAGTGGATCTAAATATGAGAGAAAAAAAAACATATTAAGTTGGTTGTCGTATGTGTGGCTCATGAAACACTTTACACTTTCTCGTTTTTAATACCTACAGAACCATAAACACTACTATATTAACTTGTTTTTTATTAATAAAAATGAACATTGCTTTAAAGCCCACAATTCAAACATCAATAGCAAAACTACTTCATGAATAATTATTTTGNCATTTTGAATTATCATGTGATTATCTTCAGCCCAAGCTGAATAGTAACGAACTACGTGTTGATGTTTTCCTACAACAAGTAACGTTTAGATTAAGAAAATCAAAAAATCTAATCCATTAAATTTACCTAACACTGCATGAGCATACACTTCATTTAAAGCATTTTTTTCTAAGGCACTCCCAGCAACAGGACAAGTTGACTTCTTAATAGCATAAACACAGCCGTCCAAACGATTAATGCATTTATAAACTGAACCAAATTGTCCACTGCCTATAAGTTCTAATTCTATGAATTCTTTGTAATATCTAGAAATATTGTTTTCCTAAAACAAAAACACAGTTTAAAATATACTTTGTTGCTAAATATTTAAAGAATAGGTTGTACCTGCAATGCAACACGCTTAGTGGGTTGCTCAATTTCAATGTCACTTGCATCTGAATCATTTAATTCTAATTTTGGTACTGTAAGGTGGACCCCCTCAGGTGAACTTATAAGAGAACGAATAGATCTTGAACGTTTCTTTGTCATCATCAAACCTATCAATACGATTTAGAATTTTTTTTAAATAACATACATGGCATTCATTTAGCAGTTTATTAGAAGAAACATAATTACTTACACTTACCATCTGGTGTAAAAGGATTAACATTTGCAGCTGGTTTTTCTAATTTATTAGGATAAGCACTTGCAACTCCTCGAGGCCTTTCACAATGAGAAAATAAACGGTTACGAGGTGCTGGTGTTCCACATACTGAAGACTTCTCCAAAATGGTTTTCGGCGTTAATGGGTTATCAAACAGTCTAAGAGCTCGGACTCTTTTATAAGGAGGACTAAATGACAAGTGTGCTGCTGAATTTTCATCTTCATTTGTAAACTGTAAACGTCTTGGTCCAAGATGAATAGGGCTAACGGGGGCAATGTTTTCGCGAGACATTTCAAAAGATAATTCACAGCCAGAAGAGGAGTCCAAATCGTGTTCTTCATTGTCGGCCTCATCAAATTCAGAACATAAATTTCGAAAACGAGCCATCACATTTATAACTATATATTTAATCCACACTTATTAAATATTCTATTTATTTTCAATCACAAACAAACTGTTTCACACAATAAAACAAATTTTTCTTTCACTATCGCTGTTTTGGTTTCACTTTCCACTCAACGGTTAATGGCGAATGACGCGAATAATGCATTTTGCAGTGTCCTCGACCAATGAAAACACTGAATTAGAAGTTTCAAATAAATTCAAACTCACTGTGGTTACTTTGATTGGTAGATTCTTGCAGCCTTGCCTGAACAATATATTTTCAATCGCTGGTTGGTTACTTGATTGCACTCTACCACTCTACAGTTTGACGAAGCAATGTTGCCAGAGGCTACGTTTTTATAAAAAAAAAAATAAACAAAACAATTTCTTATTTACTACTATTTTTTCCCATTATCATTGTAAATATGAAAAATAACTAAGTGCTTAGTTTAGATAATTATTAATTTTGCGTGCATAGTATATCTTCGAAATTAATTAACAACAAACCTCTTGAAAAAACATATGTGTATGTAAATATAATAAACATAACCTCGTTTTCGTACTTGTCAGACACGTCAGTTATAACAGAGAGTTATAATGATTTAAAATTATTACTTCCGTGTGCGGAATTACTGAAAATATTGTTTGAATAAATAAATACATATCATTACTAAAATGGCAGATGTTCAGGTGGATGTTTCTGGTGAAATGGATGCTACCATACCTGCGGAAGTGCTGAGAAAAAATCAGTTCTTAGGGTCTGTCTTAGTCGTTTATTACATAGACATTTTTACCAGTATAATATTCACCTTAAATTTTTCAGATTTTTGCCAAGACAAATACCTGACCCTAAAGAATGGATAAGTAGACAGAAACAGAATGTAAGACCGTGGTCAATATTTTTAAGTACTTCCAATTTTAAGAGTTTCCCTTCAGTCCCCAGACTAAGTAAGAGAATTCTGCGAAATATCGAATATTTTCAGAGCAATTACGTTTTTGTTTTCCTGGGACTGATTGTATATTGCTTGTATGTGACCTCTATTTTTGTTATATTGATGAATATTTTGAATGTTTCCTTTAATTTGCAGAATAACGTCACCGTTTCTACTTGTTGCTGTCATTGTAAATCTTTATACTGGTTATAAACTATCCCAGAGACATACAGAAAAAAAATTGGTAATTTGTGGCAAAGAATTAACATTAGGCCACCAATATGGACTACTAGTTTTGGTATTTTTGCCAATTTTCTATTTAGTGGGGGCAGGTGCTGCAATGTTCTGGGTCTTAGGAGCTTCTTTTTCGCTTATAATGTTACATGCTGCATTTTATAACATTGAGGCATTGGTAACAGAAGATGAAGGGGAATTTCCACTCTTACAGGAGGTCTAATTATGTTTTTGTATATAATAAACAGCATTGGGGATAATTATTATTAAATTAATTATGTACATATTTATAGATTTGTAATAAACCTATTTTATAAGTGTCAAGATCTTTATGCCAATCTTCTATTTTATAATCCACTAATAAAGACTTATATTTTAAATGACTTTTGAAATACTCCATATATTTACATAGAAGTTTCAAAAAAAATTTCTACCTCATGTTAGTTAATAAAAATAAATGATTTTTGTCTGATAGGCAATTAATAGCTTCGAGTTTTAAAATAAATAGTCGTTTTTACAAGTCTTTGACGATAAATTGTTCCAGAAAATTGCTCTTCTTTATCCAAAAGTATGAACAAAACATTTGTTTTTGCCTGTTATATATTTAATTAGCAACAATAGGGATAGCATTTTTGTCATCAATATAAAATGATTAGCAAAAAGTTTTTAAAAATGTAAGCAAAGGTCATTCATGTGATACTAATTCAATTTTAACATTCCACTTTTAAACTTCGACTTTCTTACTATTTTGAAAGAATATTTTTAAAACTTCAATGGCCCTACCTGGAAACTTATTAGATTCACTGTAAGTCTGATTACATTACTTTTTATTTTATTTTTTGGTATGAAACTATAAAAAACACAGAAGTACTTATGGAAAATATTTTATTTTCTTATAAGAAGGCAATAATATCATCATAAACATTACAAAACAAATTAAATTCGTATTTCAAAGTAATGTTCAAATGTGAAGTGAAAGTTTTATTTAAATGGTCAGTCTAAAGAAACCCCAAAACGGTTTTAAGGCAATCCGTAATGTTTTTATTTATTTTTTCTTAATGATGCAACATCAATGCTGCATTTGTATGCAATTTAAGATACGTTCCCAAATTCAATGACAAATTTAACAATTAGATCAAATAATAAATTAACAAATTCAACAAGGCATAATAATATGTTTCTTTCAGAAAATAGTAACTATGCAAAATAAATTCAATAAAATATGTACACATTAAAAGGACCGACATATCATTTTATCAAACGATATACATAAATAACACCCTGTACTATAAACAAAAGAAAAAAATAAGAGAAATTAAGCTACTAACTCTAGTGACTTCACTATAGAGTAATATTATATCTTTAAGTAGTCTTGTTTTTTTTTCCATTCTTTAACTGCTAGAGGACCAAAACTTTTTTATTCTTTGTAAAAGTTCTTATAATGCACTTTATATTATATGTATAGCTTTAAGGTACAGTGGGAGATGGTAAAGTATAGACGATTATATACAAATAAATCACAATTAATTTTGGTAGATATCGACACCAATTAATAAATAGTAGAAACGTTGCTTACATCTTTATAAAAGGATTATGCCTTTGAGTGTTGCGTACTAAAATAGAACAAATAAATTAATAGTTACAATACAAAATTTAATTGGATTTATTTTAACGAATACGTAAAAAAAATGAAAATAAACCGACAATTGGTACATATAAATTAATTTTAATAATACAATAGTCCTAATATATCATTTGTATGGTTTTAATGTTTTTGTTTTCATAACTTTTGAAAAAATAAACGGATTCTTTTTTCTCAATTCCCAGATAAAAATTTTGACGTTCTATTTGAAACGAAATTATTGCACAACGTACTAAGGCATCTGAAATGGGCACATTGAATGATAATCGACAGAGAAGGACATACAGGGTGCTTTGGTGGATTGTTCCATGTTAAGATAACGAAGATTAAATTGTTTGGAGCCCGGCCCATCCAAGAATTTTCAAAAACTACCTCGCAAAACTTAGAACTCTTATCAACAATATAATAAAAAAAATACGAGTCTAGAGAGTTCTGTAATTGGTCAAAATTTCGTACTTCTTTCGTGTTAAAAATTCTTTATGGAATGGCTCAGTATCCAAGCACAATATTAACATGGAACAACCTACACATCGTACGAGACTAGCCATTTTTTAGTTTTAATCTATGATTACATAAGGCAAAATTTTTAAAATTTCGCCATTATACGAGCGAGTTTCGACTACTTCGTGCCATTCTTTAAACGTTTCACAACAATTCGGTCTCTCGTCATCACCGCTCTTTTCTAATGTTTCTACTTCACATGTATCACTCTTCTCATCTTCTTTCGAAATACTGTATTTTTTATAGTTTTCGCTCGCGGGTTCCCTAAAGTCTTCGGAATTAAACACTTTTGGTATACTCTCCTTATTTACACTAGGCACTACGTTCACATAAAGTTCATTTTCGAGCATTTCTGATTCTGTTTTTGAACCGCCTATGCTATAATTGCCATTCACATTCGGCATGTTCGTCGTATGTAAGAGCGTCACCTTGTCCTCTAAACATGCTTCTCCTAAGTGATATTTTTCTTCTAGGTACGTTCTTGCTGGACAATTTGAATTCTCCACGAATTCATACGTGTGCTGTAGGTTCACGTCGGCATCATCTTCCTCCACAGAAAAGTCCGTTTTATTTTCCACCAGCTGGCAATAACATAGATGTTCCTCAAACTCCTCCAAGACTGATTTGTCGATAGGTGGCAGCTGTGCCAAAGCCTCTTCCTCAGATAAAGACTTAGGCACATCTTCTACTACAGGAACTTCTGCATATTCCGATTTTGAGTTTTTTTCCTCGTCATCTACGACAATTATTTCATCGTCAGATGCGGAGGAGTTAGGAGAATGGGGAAGCGGCTTTTCTGATGATGTGCTTTTTACATTGCTAAATGATCCAGACTCTATCACGCGTTCAGAAGAACTGTTCTTTTGTCCGTAGCTGAGTTTCTTTTGCGAATTTTTGTAACGGTTCGAGGTTGCGTTAAGTTTCTGATCAATGATCGATACCCTTTCAGTGAGCTTGGCTGCACGTTCGTTGAGATCCTCGATTGGTTTACAGGCAGGAAGAACAGCATTTCCACTCTTGATCTGTAGGTCCGCTAAAAGTTCCTTCGTGGTTTTTACTTTTGCGTTACCTCTAGAAACATTGAGTTTATTCGAAAAAGACGTTTCAGCTTCGTCGAGGAGGTTCTTGTGGTTTTTGGAACCTTTTTTACGGCCTCGTTTCTTTGGCTGCTGCTGTTCAAGGAGAGGGTCTTGTTTCGCGTCCGGAAGACTCGAATTCGAATCTGAATTCGCGTTGATCGCGTCACGTTTTGAAAATATCTTATTAGTAGTTGACGTAGACGAGTTACTAGAGTTTATCACATCTTTGAAGCTCGAATTGGAATTGTCTGAGAAATCCAACTCGCTCACTTGACCATTTACCTTTGGCCGTTTGATGATGGCGTTTTCGATGGCTTCTTTGGCCACTCGTTTCTTATTTTGTAAGTCTTCTGAAGCGCTAAGTTCTCCTGGAGACGATAAATTTGATTTTATTTGGCCATTCGAGCCCGGTATCACCATGCTGCGCCATTTCTTTACTAGTTCCTTGGCCCTCTTGGCTAGAGACTCGTTTGAAGTGTTACGACGAAGCTCGTTAACATGCTTGCCTACTCGGGTGGTCTATATTTCATAAACAAAAAAAAAAAACATGAGATAAAGTAAGCATATCTACAGTTACTTCTATCAAATGGGCCTCCACTATTTCTTAATCAATTTATAAAAGGCAATGTATTAAAAATTTCTGTAATTTCAACTTGAACCATAACATTCAAATTTATTTAATATTTTTCTCTTTCTTTAAAACTAACGATAATTCTCGTTTTATAGGGATCATTACACAACGAATTTAAATATCATTACAAGAAGCATGTCTTTAAAATTAGTTGAAATGAAAATGTACTCTAATAAGACCAAAATGAAAATAGTATAAGAAAAACTGCAAATGACAAAATTACTTGAAGATGTATCAAAAGAAAAATGCCTTCAATGTGAACTTAATTAAATAGAAAAATTGTGGTTTAAGCTCAATATATATAGAAAGTACAACACTTATAAGTTAAATAAAATCTTTTTAATAAAACAAAGGTATCATACATATACCTTGTAATACATAAAATTGTATTACATAATGTTTAATGTATTTTCAAACATAGAAAAGAAATCAATATTACACATAATTTTTTTTTTGCTTTTAATTCACAAGATTAACAAATTAATTAATAAAATAATGGCAATTATTAAAAATATTTTATTTTTTTCTTCAGATTGTAAATACATTTTTTTTTTAAATATTAGTTTATGTTTGAATATACAAAATGAAATTGGATCAGCCTTATACACTAATCATTGTTGCTGATTAACAGAAATTTAAATATAATAAACAATAAGTCATGTAGTATCTAGTAGAGTAAAAAGTGTTGTGAATTAGAAATAAAAAAAAGTACCGCTA